CTGAAGGTGATGCGTTAACACACTGGGCAGTATAGTTCATCATACACACCTATGTATCACCTACGACTGTTTTGCCAGTAAAATGTCAGAACTGAGTGAATAATCAAATGTCAGCTGTCAAAAATCCAGACGCAATCATTTAACATTACTTAAAAAAAAAACTAAACCCCCAAAAAAAAAAAAACAGAGAAAAGCAGGAATTCTTTGCTACTTCTCAGAAACAGGAACCAGGGCTTGATCAATCATCAATAATGATTATCACCATTGTTTCTGACTCATTTAAAGCTTAACAAAAAAGACTAACCCAACTTACTGTCAAGAAGTCACAATCATCTATTCTAAGTAATAATGCTTTACAACAGTAAGGTGTTCTGCATAGTAATGTGACTGACACAGCATCAGTAAGAAATCAAACATTCATAATATAACATGATTTTAATTAGGTTAAGAATTTAAAATGTTATTAATTGACATAAACACAGCATATAAAAATACTAAGTACTATTTGTCTCTTGATGACCCCTAATGTCTTTCAGGCAGCCATTCAGTCCCAGCTGGATGGTGTTCGCACTGGACTGACCCAACTGCACAGCGCCCTGCTGGACGTCAAAGACATCCAGAGCTCATTGGCTGATGTGAGTAAAGACTGGAGGCAGAGCATCAACACCATAGAGAACCTGAAAGACGTTAAGGATGCTGCAGTTCAACACAGTCAGCTGGCCTCTGCTGTGGAAAACCTTAAAAACATTTTCTCTGGTAAGTTCACACTCCAGACATGTCTGTGTCAGTGACTCCATGTCCTATCACAGACAATATGCTATTACTACAGAAATACCCCAGGCTTTATAGAGGTTTAAGACAATAAGCTTTCCACTATATCAGACTCCTACTCAAGGGAGAAAAATGGTTTGTCACAGATGAACTTTTCACCTGCTTTGTCTCACTGTTATTACTCTGTTTATCTCTGTAACTTGGCTGTGTTTATAGTACCAGAGATTGTGGCGGAGACACGGCAGCTGATAGAGCAGGCAGAGCTGCTGCAGGCCCACAGGAAGCTGATGGACCTGGAATGTTCACGGGATGATCTCATGTATGACCAGTACCGTATGGACAGCAAGAACACCAGTGACATGAACCTCATCTCCGTCCTCTTTGGAGACGTAAGTTTAAGTGATAGAGTATTAGAGTGTTGTAACATCATCATCATCATCACTAGGCATGCAATCAATATTATGTACATTTCCATAAGCAGTCATTCAATCAGCCATGTCATGCTCCCTTTTTAAGTAGTTATTCACAATTGATTAAACTTTATGAACTTTTCTGGTTCAATGCA